ACAGGCTAACCTTAGCAAACCAACAGGCTAACCTTAGCAAACCAACAGGCTAACCTTAGCAAACATACAAGCTAGCACTAACAAACCTAACAAACGTACAGGCTAACCTTAGCAAACCAACAGGCTAACCTTAGCAAACCAACAGGCTAACCTTAGCAAACATACAAGCTAGCACTAACAAACCTAACAAACATACAGGCTAACCTTAGCAAACCAACAGGCTAACCTTAGCAAACCAACAGGCTAACCTTAGCAAATCAACAGGCTAACTTTAGCAAACCTACAAGCTAGCACTAACAAACCTACAAGCTAGCACTAACAAACCTAACAAACCTACAGGCTAACCTTAGCAAACAAACAAGCTAACCCTGGGTTAACCTTAGCAAACCAACAGGCTAACCTTAGCAAACCAACAGGCTAACCATAGCAAACCTACAAGCTAGCACTAACAAACCTAACAAACGTACAGGCTAACCTTAGCAAGCAAATAAGCTAACCCTGGGTTAACCTTAGCAAACCAACAGGCAAACCTTAGCAAACCAACAGGCTAACCTTAGCAAACCAACAGGCTAACCATAGCAAACCTACAAGCTAGCACTAACAAACCTACAGGCTAACCTTAGCAAACCAACAGGCTAACCTTAGCAAACGAACAAGCTAACCTTAGCAAACGAACAGGCTAACCTTAGCAAACGAACAGGCTAACCTTAGCAAACCTACAAGCTAGCACTAACAAACCTAACAAACCTACAAGCTAACCTTAGCAAACCAACAGGCTAACCTTAGCAAACCTACAAGCTAACATTAACCTCAGGCTAACCTTAGCAAACCTACAAGCTAGCACTAACAAACCTAACAAACCTACAGGCTAATCTTAGCAAACCAACAAGCTAACCTTACCAAACCGACAACCTAACACTGCACCTACAAGCTAAAACTAACAAACCTAGAAGATAACCTTAGCACACCTACAAGCTAACACTAGCAAATCTACAAGCTAAACTTAGCAAAAGTTCAAGTTTCTACTATCAAACTTACAAGCAAGCGTTGAAGTCAGTTTTGTGTTTAAAAAGAGTGGCAGCCATTATGAATGAGGTTAACTGTGAAAGATGATCAGTTGTAGCGTTTTAATTTATGATAGATTTACTCCAGCAGACAATAAGTTCATGCAGTGTTTCGTCTCTGCCAACAAACCTGGCGAATCCAACCCCTCGGCTGTTCCCGCTGTAGTCTCTGAGGATCCGGGTGGAGACCACCTGACCGAACGGCTGCAGCATCTTCTCCAGCTCCTTCTCGTCCACAGACAGAGGCAGGTTGGACAGGTAAAGGTTTGTGGGGTCCTGCTCCTGCTGCTGCTCACAGAAAACAGAGAAGAAGACACTGATGATGATGAAGATGACGGTTTCTTCACTCTTTTCTCAGCAGGAAGCTGCTTCGTCTTTCTCGGGGGAACATTTCGTTAAACAAACATTTCGAAGCACTTCTACAGACATGACCACGCACTCTGCTCCGTTATCGCCTCTACGSTCGCCCCTGGAAACAGCGTGAGCATCGTCGCCATGGCTACTGCAAAACACAAACCACGGGCCGCCATGTTTGTTCCAAACAGAGCGATCGCACACGGGCCTCCAGAGAGACGCCGCTCAGCCGGCAGCACGGAGCCCACAGAAGGACCGGAACAACGTACTGTATAACACTGAAACATTTCAGCTTTTACTTTCTAATTTGTTTGATTTGGTGGAATCTGTTTTGTTTCTCTTCACTAGATTTCAGAACCCGGTAAAAACCAGATGGGTTTCATGATATCCTGATAAAACCCGGTAAAAACCAGATGGGTTTCATGATATCCAGATAAAACCCGGTAAAAACCAGATGGGTTTCATGATATCCTGATAAAACCCGGTAAAAACCAGATGGGTTTCATTACGTCCTGATAAACCTGGTAAAAAACGGATCGATTTCATGACATCCTGACAAAACCCGGTAAAAACCAAGATGGGTTTCATGATATCCTGATAAAACCCGGTAAAAACCGGATGGTTTTATTACATCCCAATAAAACCCGGTAAAAACCAGATGGGTTTCATGATATCCTGATAAAACCCGGTAAAAACCGGATGGGTTTCATTACGTCCTGATAAAACCTGGTAAAAAACGGATCGATTTCATGACATCCTGACAAAACCCGGTAAAAACCAGATGGGTTTCATGATATCCAGATAAAACCCGGTAAAAACCAGATGGGTTTCATGATATCCTGATAAAACCCGGTAAAAACCAGATGGGTTTCATTACGTCCTGATAAAACCTGGTAAAAAACGGATCGATTTCATGACATCCTGACAAAACCTGGTAAAAACCAGATGGGTTTCATGATATCCAGATAAAACCCGGTAAAAAACGGATCGATTTCATGATGTCCAGATAAAACCCGGTAAAAGCCGAATAGATTTCATTATCTCCTGATAAAACCTGGTAAAAATCGGATAGGTTTCATTAGGTCCTGATTAAACCTGGGTTCTGGAGAAGGGCAGGAGACGTTCTGCATCGTCTGGTTTCCACAGAGAGAGGAAACAGGTCACATGTTCTCATGTGACCTGTTTCATGTCATATTCCTTTATACAACACAAACAGCACAACTCTAAAGAAATGTTCACAAGCATGATTAACACACACACACACACACACACACACAAACACACACACACACACACACACACACACACAC